AGTTACACTAAGCCTTTTGGCACCTTAGAGACTGCCACAAGTACTCCTGTTCTTCTTTTTGCGGATACAGACTAACACGGCTGTTACTCTGAAACTAAGCCTTTTGGTGTTTGGGTTTTTATTCGTGTGTTCATTTAGTCGCCTAAAAATAGGTCAGTATTTTTTTCCTGTTTGTCTCCTGGTTTACGGAAGCTAGACAGCATTTGGTTGTTTAAATGGGTGTGAAACAGTGATATTTGTTTTTATAGCGTGTGGAGTTTATTTTTTATCTTTAAGCTTCCATGAAAATCAGTTCAAAAGTGGGAAATGTATTTGATCCACACTGTATACCTTTTGTAAGAAAAGGAGGAAATAGAAGCAAACCAAACCTCTCTTCTTTCTCTTCCCCCCCCCCCCCGCCAATGCTGGGTTTGCACAGCTCTCCTCCCCTCCCCCCTGGAGAAGCACTCATAGGAAGGATAATGTACCATAGGGGCACATATTTTATAGTAATTCATATTTCTTACTCTTGTCAATTTCCACTGTCAGATTGCTGATACTTGTTCACATTGGTTCTTTAAGATCTGGTAGACAAATTACTATATACGTTGTTTCTTACTTTTATTGTTAGCTTATAAATATCTTAACTCGTGTGAAAGACTGTAAAATTTTTATTCCAAAAATTGAAATAGGTCCAGATCAAACTCTTAATTAATACTTAATTTTAAGTTTACCCTTTCACATTATTATTATTAGTGCACTTGTACGAATTAAGAAAAAACTAAAATTAGATTATTGACATTAGTTAAGAGACAAACCCACAGTGAGCTAGAAGTAGGACTATATCATCATGCAAAACCCCCAGTAAACAGATGGGCTCTTGAGTACCATTGGGGAAAACCAAGAGCCAAGGTATACACTGAAAACTCCCTGGTTGAAATTCTGTTGATTTCAGTAGGTCCAGGAAGTTTTGCCATTAACTAAAAGAAGAGTCGGGATTTTGCCCACAGTCATTGGAATGTAGGACTCGCAAGAGAACAGCTAACTTCAATTCTCCTAACAGGATGTGCATCAACAGGTGTTTTCTCAGTTTGGATCCAAGCTACGTGGTACTTTGTAGATTTCCCTGAGTTGCACCTGGAAGTGACTAAGGAGGCAGTGAAGATTTTAAAGCACTGGCATAGAATGTTCTCTGTGGCTAATTACATTAATATTTAAATACATATACACCTACTGGGCCAAACCCATATACGTAGTTCAAACCTATTTACTAAATACATGTCTGGTTTACTTGATAAAATCACTGTGGGTTTTGACTACTGCTTATTCAAGCCAGTGATGGCTCTATGAATTTTTTGTTGAGGAAATATCAAGTACTAATAATTATTGATGTAAATATATTTCTGTAACAAAGGGTGACAATTGTTTTTGTTTTCTGTACTTTTGTTTCTAAAAAATAGAAAATAAGAATCTCAATGATTTTGGTTTAACCTGTTAAGTGTTTATAATCTATTTACTGTCATGCTTCTGATGTGTTCAATACTAAGTCTCGGTTTCTTGCTCCCCATTATGTGTGGTGGTGGTGTGTGTGTGTGTGTATGTGTGTTGTAGTACAAAAAGTGAAAAAATTAACTTAGGTCAGTATGCATCTACTACTTTTGCTATTGAAGCTCTTTAAAACACTGACAGAACTTTGAATGAAATTTTGTTCTCTGTTGTGATCTGAATGCTAAATATCAGTGTGACTAATCTGATGTCTTTTTATGTTAAATTTTAAAACTCTGAACAAAGGCTATTTAATGTGCGCGTGCACACACACACACACACACACACCCTTGTTAATGGAACATAGTCGCTGAAATTTTTTGGTGTACACAATTTAGGAGCTTCAAAATGATAGCTGTCATAGCAACTGTAACTGCAACTGTAACTTGGCTCCCCACACAATACTGTGTAATGTTTTGTTTCATTGCATGGAGTAATACAGTAACTCCACACCTAACATCCTCTCCCTTAACGTTGTTTCGATCTTGCGTCCCTGCTCCATTACAGAACCTGCTCGTTTAAAGTTGTGCAATGCTCCGCTATAATGTTGTTTGGCTGCCTGCTTTGCCCACAGCTGGCATCCCCCCATCAGCTCCCCTATGCCCCCCCAGTGCCTCTCACCTGTCGGCGGACACCGCGGATCAGTGCCTTCCCCCTGTTTCCCTCATCTCCTGCCCGCAGCAATCAGCTGGTTTTGCGGTGTTCAGGAGGGAGGGGGAGAAGTGAGGACTCGGCGCACAGGCTACCCCTCCCTCTCCTGCCTGTGGCAAGCAGCTGGTTCGAGGCGTTCAGGAGGCAGGGGAGGGAGAGAGGAGGAGCGAGGACTCGGCATGCAGGCTCCCCCTCCCTTCCCTGCCTCCTGAACGCCACAAACCAGCTGATTGCCGGTGGGAGGGAAGGGGGAGCCTGTGCGCTGTGTCCTCGCTCCTCTCCTGCCCATTGTAATCAGCTGGTTTGCGCCGTTCAGGATGCAGGGGAGGGAGGGGGGAGGAGCGAGCATGCGGCGTGCGGAGTAAAGAGGGAGGAGGTGGGGGGGAAGAAGAGGTGGGCTAAGGGTCGCGGCTTGGGAGAAGGGGTGGAATGGGTGGGCCAAGGGTTGAGCCCCTCCACCCCCCACCCCTGGTGCT